CCCCCAGCTTTTTCCTTTTCGCGTATTCTTCCCCTTTTCATCCCGTTTTGCTCAAACTACGAGCGTCTTTTTCTGTTCAGGAGAGCCGGCTTCTGTCTTAAGGGGGGGGGCATTTTCCCATTTTCTGCAATCCTCAAGATGCTTCCCCAAAGGGTCTTAGCTGGGGGAATCCTCCGGACCCCAGCCCCAGGTTTCCGAAAACAGCTGTCCGTCTCAAAAGCAGAGCCTTAATCCTGCTAGACTGCTCTGTCCCGTGGAGGCTCCGCTCTCCCGATGCAGCGAACGGGTTCCTCGGCCTTTTTCAAAAAGCCCGATTTTGCCAGCCAGGGAGAATGGTTTAATTCTCTTAGTCAAACTCCCAAGCACAGGGTCACCATCCTACCTGGGTTTTGATTGATTTATTCCTGTGTTTTAGCCTTTCGGGAGCATGCACGGCGAATACGAAACCCTTTTAAAATAGATGTTTGTTGCCGATGGGAAGCGGAGCAGAGGAACGATCCAGCTTGGCATCCGTGCCTGCAGCCGCCCATCTTGGTGACTTTCTTCTGCTTTTCAGATTCTTTACATTAACACAATAAAATTAAAGGCAAAGCCAGCCGCCCCGTTGGCATGCCCGGAAAATTAAAAACAGGAGTTTTGTTAGGATTTAAGATGAAGGCGGCCTGGCATTTTGCAACATGCCATTTCGAGCCGCCGAGAGGCTGAAATGCCCACCTGGCGAGAGAGTTAACCCATTTGGGCTAATCTAGCATCGGTTAGGAAGGTGATCCCACCCAATGGTGGAAAAAGAGAGGATTTCCCTTGGGAATGAAGCCTTGAATCTCAAGGTCCCAGCTGAACTGCCCCTCTTCCCCGGGCAACGAAAACAGCAGAATTTGACCCACGTTTTTAACAGCCATTTGAATTTCACCCATCGCGGTGCCGAGGAGCATCGCTGAGAGATGTGCCCGGCAGGGCCTCGCAAACCGAAACAGCCCGAATCAGCAAGGAGGTTGCCCGCCCTATGATTTATTGGTTTTTCAATCCACGGCCACGCCAGCCGACCCCCCGCTTTTCTTTTCCGTCCCTCCCACTTCTGCATGCGTGGTGGCGGGTTAGGCCAAGTGCCAAGCGTGCCACGGGGCAGCTGGTGGAAGAAACCCAAACGGAGCAGGGAATTCTGGATCGGGGGGG